TAGCTATCGGAGAACCTGAGGTGTCCTATGAAACACAAGGGCCTTAGGTTATTTTAGAGAAGCTTCCAAATAATAAAGCATGAAATGGTAACTAGACTGCTTAGAGTAACTGGAGATGCTCAGAAGAGGCCTTTTAAGGACAGACTGCACAAACCTGGGTTGTTCCTGGCAGGAACACACCGAGCTTCCCTTGCCTGGAGTCAGAATTTTCAGGATCTGTTTCAATACTTGTTCTTTTCTGATCTGAATGTTTTAGATGTTCTTGACCTGTGAAATGATGCTTAAATTAATTTTGCAGAGATGGATATGTTATACCTAGAGTRGCCACTGGTCCTAATTAGGAAAGCTAGCTCAGAAAAAATATGAAATATCCCAGTCTTCAGATGCTTAATTCCTGCTATCAAGGGCTGGATGGCAAAGTCTTCCCTCTTGGTACCTACCCAGCAGTTAATGATTTAGCCAATGATTTTAGAGGTGGGTAGCAGGACTAATTGTGTGATCAGCTCCAACCTGAGACTTTGTTCTCTTAAGCAGTCTGAAAAATCTTATGTGATGCATGATTTATTTAATATATTTGAAGGGAAGAGGTCAGTACATAAATGGTTCTACCTTTATCTTTGGGAAGTGCCACATACAGCTTTATTCTCTGAACAGGGGCATAAACTCAAGAAAACAGGATTTTGTACCTATGAGATCTCATGTATGATTCAGCAAATGCATTTTTACAAATAGGGAGTGAATATAGAACTGAACAGTTAAGGGCTTGTTTTTTTAAATACTTCTTTGCAGCTGTTTGGCAGCTATTACTGAGGCTTGCGTATTAATAGCTTTGTCAGTGTTTTCCACAAAGATCCAAATAAACTAAACATAAAACTAAGCTTTACATCTTTTCCTGGAGTTGCTTGGAAATATAACGTGGGAATTTTTGTCTTCTGAAAGTCTTTATTTTCGGCTCTTGTGTTCTGTTTTTTGGTGTGTGTTTTTTTGTACTGTCAAGAAGTAAAAATAAAAGCAGCTGGCTGTTCTCCTGTATATTCTGCAGTCTGACAGAAAAACCTTCATCTCATTAGGTGGCTTGCAATTTTCCTGAACAAAGACTTTGGTTTAATGAGTTATCAGTAGGAAAAGTCAAATCTGGTTCTGCAATCAAGGATGCTGGATAATGCACGTCAGCTCCAGTTTGATGGGAGACAGTGTTGTTGTCAAGAGAGAATCTAAACTTCTGAGGAATCCCAAACCACTATGGTGTTGATTTGGAGCGTACTTTAGTTTTGTTTGATATTCTGACTAGATTTAATGTGGACAGACAGAGGACATGATGTTCCTGTGTTTTTTCTCCCAGCAAATCATCTGAGCCTTAAGTTATGTAAGGCATGAAGTGTTTCGGTTCTGATGCTTAGGCAAGGAATACTGTGCAGCTTCTGTGACGCAGCAGCAGATTTTATCTGCTCCCCTCTAAATGGTAAGTTTTGGAGCTGTTAGTTCTGGGGAAGAAGTATGAGTGGCATCAGGCCCAGGAAGTATGGGAGGGCAATCTCCCACTCCGCAGAAACGTTTCTAAAACCAGCATTGGCGATGAGGTAATCRGAACTCAGGCAGTGACTTATTTAATTTACAGGCTCTGTTTCAGACGCTGACTTCATATTTAAATATACTTTATTATATATTTATAGCTTTGCCTTTTAATTAGATGACTAAATATTAATCCCCGTCTTGGATTTCTTTAGGTTTTTGTTTTTTCCACTTCTGAAAGGAACAYGCAGCTTCACAGTGGGGATTAAACAAGGTGCAGTGGCTTGGGAGCAAAGCWGGGGGCTGTTGTTAAGTACAGGAAATGCAGCTGAAATAACTGGTGTAGATTCCCATCAGTTCTCAGCTTTTGGTAGCAGTTCCTTTTTCTTGTTTGCTGGGATAGAGTAGGAACTTTGGAATCCCTCATGTTAAACAACTTTAGGACCTGGCGTGGTATCAGCTGAAAGAGTTAGTARCTAAAGCATATGGGTTAAATAAAACAAGCATTAAAGAAGAATGAAGCGTGTGTTCTCCCAGCTTCCTGTGTTTGTGTTCTGTTTATGTGTTGTTAAGGTTGATGTCCGGCTGCCTCCCCAAATTTGAAAGCCAGCTTGGACTGTACTGCAGCTGCCTGGGTCCAGGTGTGAACAGGCAAATGAGGAACCTGGTGAGAAGAACACAGTGGGCATGGGGGACAGAAACACTTGGTAATGGTATGTTCAGATGCACAGAGTGTGTGTGGGAGTGCTCAGTGCCACCAGTTCAGCAGGATGAGGTTGTGAAGAGGCCCCTGTCTCCTGTGAAGGCTGCTGGACAAGTCTGTGTAACAGAGAAAACTGTTTTAAAATTTTTTCTAAGATATCCTCAAGGCTTTGTGAATGCATTTCAAAATATATAWGAGACATTTTGGTCTAACTGTCTTAGATGTTTTTAAAAAGAGGTTACAGAGGTTGTAGAACAAAGCAAAACTTGACTACTCTTAAATAGTTTTATATGGTGATCAAGTATGCTCTGKGCTTGGTAATTGTGCTTAACCAGCTTTCAGTCATCAGAAAAGAGCTCATTGGAAAATATCTGAATTTTCAGATTTTTATTGTAGTTAAAGCCCAACTTTTGATTTAGCTGGATTTTTTTAGCTTTGTTGTTCAGCTGGATGTGGAAAAGTGCTGTTTGTTCTCCCTTCATTAATAATTAAAATTCTCATTATTCCACGAGTGGATGTCAGCACTTTCCCTGAAAGCATTGCACTGTATGGGGACTTTCAGTCAGTGTCCTCCCTTTCTTTGTAGGAGCTGTTAGCACTTGCAAAAAAGCATGATGTGAGGTTCCAGTTCGTAGATCAGTGGAGCTTGCAAGGGACATCTGGAGGTCATCTCAGTCCAGCCATTCATTCAGACGTCTCCTGGCAGGTCGCGTTCTCCAGGCCTCTGTCCAACATTGCAGCTCTTTGCCAAACATTTGCTTGTTTTTGCCACATCTCTCTTGTACTGGGCCTGCAAAACTAGACTTAATTTATAATATTAGAGCAGGAATTCATTTTCCTTTGTTCCTAGCTGAGTCTTCCTTTTACAGGAATAAGGATGTTTCTCTACCGTAGGTCAAAGTTTGTGCTACCTAGAAACAGTCTGCTTAGTCTGAATTATTTTCTAGATAAGGGATGAAACTGATGGGATTCTTAAGGACTATCTAAAGATTTGAACAGTTGGAAAAGCAGAAGAGAAAAAGGTGGATGTCATCTGAAAAAAAAAAATGAAAGAAGGTAACTACTCTCCTGTCTTGCATTTTCCTTCATGTACAAGAAAGATTTCTTGTTTGGAAACTTACATTTATTCTGTGTCTCTGGTGGGAATTAGATTGACTCAATGCCTGTGTTGAGTTAAACCTCCAATTGATGTGCTCATGTGAACCTTACCTGAATGTTTGCTTAGCTGAACAAATTGGAGACTTACCAGAGTGATTCTTTTATCATCTAGTGAGGCCTCTAACATCTGTAATAACTTGTGAAGGTGCAGAGATGATACGTTACCAAAGGGAGTAAATACTCCTGTGCTTTCAAAGTGAGTCATGAACYGAGTAGAGCAGAGCTCACAGGATCAGAACGGGGTGTCAGATTTGGTAAAAGCTCAAGGAAGTAGAATTCTTAGCAGTTAAATGTTCTGCTTTACCTTGAGCCTTGCCACTTTGGTACCCAGGCCAGTACATCCTGCTCTTCTAGTGTGCTCTCTTTGTTAAAAAATAAAGAGAGGGGAAGGTGATGGTTTTTGATGTGATAGGGACACTTAGGTGTTGTGATACGGACRCTTAGGAGGAAAGACTAAGCGARCTGGACCTGTTTAGCCTAGAGAAGAGAAGACTGAGAGGAGACCTGATCAATATCTGTAAGTAGCTGAGGGGAGAATGTAGGGAGGAAGGGGTCAAACGCTTCCTGGTGGTCACCAGTGACAGGACAAGGGGCAGTGGGTGCAAGTTGTAACACAAGAAGTTCCATCTCCATGTGAGGAAGAACTTCTTTCCTGTGAAGGTGACACAGCCCTGGCACAGGCTGCCCAGGGAGGCTGCAGAGTTTCCTTCTCTGGAAATCTTCCAAACCCGCCTGGATGTGAGCGGGTGCCCGGCGAGCAGGTGCCCCGTGCTCTGGGTGTCCCTGCTGGAGCAGGGGGGTTGGACTGGGTGATCTCTAGAGATCCCTTCCAACCTCAGCCATTCTGGGATTCTGTGCGACTCAAGCAAGAGATAAGACATAAGGAAGCATCATTACTTTTGCCCATGGGAAAAAAAAAAACTTTGAAATTATGAGGGGGGACATGATGATGTCTTTTAAGTAAGAAAAGGGATGAATTAATTCCATTATTCTTGGTTTTCTTACCTCACATATCAAATATTCATGAAAAGCAATAGGAATATGAAAGAAATGGATTCCAACTTGGGATTAGTTTATTTTGAATGAGAAGTTGCATTATACAGAAATAAGCAATAACTTATTTGAGGCATTTTTTAAATGGGAGTCTGTAAATGAAAAATAATCCAGCGACTAATGCCGCCTCGTCTTACTTAGGAGTAACTACAAGACTACATGTACAGCTACATTGTGAAAATATGGACAAGCAATTAGCAAACGCAGCCTTGAAATGAAGATTCAGGGGAGCTGCAGGTTTTTCCTAGGCCAGTGTAGGAACTGATGTGGAGTGAAAATGAACGTTTCTAGGCTGACAACCGGGTAGATTGGAAGAGTGGGATCTGTGTAGTGATGTACTGATTATTTGATCAGTGTAAACTTGTCTGCAGGGAGGAGCTGAGCTGCTACAGCGTGTTACTGGCCCTGGGCCCGAGGATAAACTCTGGCTGAAGCATCATTTATGACCACCTCCTTCTCTGACCTTAAGGAGAGCTGCTTGTAGGCTTGGTCCTGAACCTGATGTGTAAAGGGATGTTCTGCTTACAGGAAGCAATGAGTTAATTTCTTTCCCCCCACACTTTTTTTTCATTAGAGGCATGGAGAACTTGGTGACTGGCCCCAGCCTTCCTCCGCTTTTTGCAGATGAAGATGGATCTAAGGAAGGTAGTGAAATTACTGTAACTGGGTAAGCAAATACCCCCCTTTTTCTTTAATAAAAAAAAAAAAAAAGACTTTGGCCGATAGACCCCGTCTCTAGATTTGTCAGGGAAACTGAGTGGGAAGAAAGTTATGCTAAAGAAACTCCTCAGAGGAAGGAAAACCACAGAAACATTGCCCTGGCATTGATAACAACCTAGAACCTTGCATGAAGGGGAACATGGCTGCTTCTGAGCTGATTTAAAAACTACCAAACTTTTTTACATTTGTTAACTTTAAAGGATTGTTTCCATAGAATTTCAGTCTTTTAGAGAGATTTAGCGTAATATGGGCAGAGAAGGAGGATAATATCACTTGACTAWAGTGGTCCCTGCTGAGTAGACCATTCTATTAATGATACACTGTTCATCAGTGATCTCCAAAAACTGCTGAGAAACTAATGCTGTTCATTTTTTAGGTAACTTTTTAGAGTGTAAAACAGTGGCCTCTTAAAGCCATAAAGGCTAATGAACCTAGTCTTTTAGGAGGATATGGGCTTCTTTCTGTATGTTGGTACTTGACATTTTTCTTTCATCCAGGCTAAAAAATTCAGACTTTGTGGACAGGTAGAACCCTTTAGAAATAAACGCAGAGATACTTTAAACTGGTCTAAATTTGGCTCTGCATATATGGGACTCGAGTCTTTTCTGGTGCCAAAAGGAGGTAATGTACACATTTGAATTAGCCTTAAGTGGAATTGATGCGTTGGATGGATGAGCTTTCATCCRTTTTCACTGCAATGGCTATGTTGCATTGAAGTTTTCCCATATATGTATGGAGTTTAGAAAGCTTTCCTGTTGAAGGGTTACTCTATTACCTGTCACACAGGAAAGCTTAAAATACTCTTCAGATCTTAATAATGATTCTGAGAAAATCAAACTACATTGTTGCATGTTCTTTCTGATACATCAGATTTAATTAACTTTTAATGGCAGGCTGCCTGCTGTATTCCCTTCTTCTCTTTCTGATTGCAGGTGGTGTGAACTCAATCTGATATCTGCAAGTCAGGCCCAGAACTCTCCAGCCTTTGTATCTTAACCAATAATTATGCCCCARCTGGTGACTGTACTGAGTAATGAAGCTACTGTTTTCCCTATTTAAAGACAAAGTCTTCTGTAGGCATTTAACTAACAATTCTGTGGCTATACCTCACTTTTCCATAACTGTAGACTCCATTGTTATCAGGAGCAGTTATTTTGAATATTTAAGATGCTTGTCTTATATGTAAGCCGCTCTATGAATGATCAGACACAGTAGATYTGAAGCATATGTTGTGGTAATTTTCATGAATGTAACTGCCTAGAGCCAGGCAACCTTCAGCTGGTTTAAGGGATTAGAATCTGTAACTAGAGTCCTAAACTCTGTCAGGAATTTGGCCGTGGAGCACAGTGGTTAGAATGACTAGGAGATTGTCCCGAAATATGTGCTCATCTGTTTGTACCTCCAGATATGTGCCTGAATCTATGTGCACATTTGGCTTTGTGTCTGCGTATCGCTGGGCCCGTTTATAGAGTGGTGGATTGATATAGACCTTGGAGCAGAATTAAATAGTGACCAGTTAGGAGCCTGCAGGGACCTAGTCATGTTTGTGCTTTAAATACCCTTGTAGATCAACGGGAGTTCATCTSCAATGAAGTTCCATTCAAAATCATACACAACCACAGTCCTTCAGTGTTTCTGGAGAAATGTATTAAATGTGTCCAAAAGATATATATTAGTTGAAGAAAGCATGTTTCACATAATTTTTTTTGTATTTTTGAGGAAGTGTGGATTCCTGCTTTTGATGACTGATTCAGTTGTTTATTTGAGGTCTTTAATCAAAGACCTCATTAAAAATTAGACAAGATATCATTTTAAAACTCAAATGGTGTCTGCAAGTCCCTGGCAACTATGGTAAGTGCTTACAGCACTTGCGTAGATGGAATGATCGGTTCTTCAAAAGTGACATTTTTCAAATGCTTTTTTCTTGCTTGTGTTAGAACTGAATATATTTGCAATATTTTTGCATCTTTTAGAAGACAAGAGGAAGTGATTTAGCAATATGATTTAATTTTTCTCACTATCATATGCTTTTTCAGATTAGCTCATTCTGAGAGTTCATTCAGTGGTGGAACTTCACAGTCTGTGAATAACGCAGATTTGGTGGAGGATTTGTCACAAGCTCAGCAACTGCAAAATGAGTCCTCTAATACTGCTGAAAACACAGAACCAAAGCCTGAGGAGGAGGTAAGGTGAAATAATATTATTAAAAYAGTGACTTCTCARTGGAGTTGGAGTGTAAAGTTTTGTCACTATAGCTCCTTTTGCTTAAATCTCTTTTTTGTAGGATCACAAATATTCATCCATTTGCCATTTTCATCTTTTGATCCTGTAGTCGTCTTGTGTGATGCACAACCATGCACAGATAGCTAAGGAAGGCTAGAAGCTGGACTGCACAGAGAAACGTGCATCTCCCTGGCTTAGCCAGCAGAGTCCCATGACTTAAACTGCCTCTTTTTTTTCTCTTTTTTTTTCTCCTGAAAACGCAATGTTCCATTGCCCCATTCTATTTCATGTCCTCTGAGGCAGCAAAGTGACAGTTATGCTTTTTGTGAGTAACTAGTGTCTTTGGAAGCATTCTGCCTGCTTCTTTAGACTTGCCTGTGTGCTGTCACACACAATATTTGGTGACTAAATGGTGAAGGAACTAAAATATGACATGAAAGTGGTTTCGAATCTTTGATAGATAAATTTCGTCTTCCCCTCTTGCTGTTTGACTTSAGCTTTGTCCTTTTACTTTTGTTGTAGTTAAAAATCCAGAAGGGCAACCAAAAACAACATGGTGGAGGGAGCATGTTGATTATGGGAGAAGTTAGAAGTACTGATAATAGCTGTATATATGTTTATAGCAAGGACAAACAATGTTTTCCGGAGATTAGAGTAGTACTGTGAAGCCAGGAAGATGAGTGTTAGTTATGTCACTCCCTTGGACTTGCTATGTGCCACAGGCAAGTCTCACAATGTTCCCTTCTTAGGGCGTTTTTCATTGGAGATGATGTTCAACTTCTTTAAGGTTCTTTGATTTTTTTTTGACATTTGTTTTGAAATTCTGACATATTTGGTGGTAGAGATAACAAGAAGTGGGGTGGAGGGAAGCATGTATAGAATGACTGTCTTCTCACGCATTTTGGGCCTGACATGCCCAAATGGAAGAGATTCAGAAGGAATCCTTTAACTAAATAGAATAAACRAGAAACTGCTAGCTAGTATATAAAATTTTTCAAATACTATGTTGAGACAAATGACTCGAGCACAAAAGAAAAATAAGATTTAGAACAAAATGAATACTTCCAGTTGTAGCAGTTTCATGAGCTGTATCACTCCTCATGGTCCATAGCATAAGCTGATACTAGACTCTGGTCAGACCTAATCTGTGACATAYTGCTACTTAATTGTCCGGCATGAACTTGTACAAAGGTGTCACCCTTCACTGTGAGGGTGACAGAGCAGTGGAACAGGCTGCCCAGGGAGGTTGTGGAGTCTCTTCCTCTGGAGGTCTTCAAAACCTACCTGAATGCCACCCTGTGCCACATGCTCTAGGTGTGCCTGCTTGAGCAGGAAGGTTGGACTAGATGACCTCTAGAGGTCCCTTCCMACCTTGAACATTCTGTGATTCTGTGAAACTTAATAGTTTGTGACTTTTCTTTCTGAGATGATTTCGGAGGAGGGTCTGAATCATTACTGGAGTAAGATAGGAAACGGAAGGGCTAATTGATAAGTAACTGATATGTTATTTCTGTCCCTCAAAAAAAGAGGATGGTTATCTCCATTTTTATGTCTTCCTGTATGTTTAGACTATTCCTTAATATTCTGGATTTACACATAAGTTGCCACTTTTTTTTCTCCTAGTGGACCAGGAGTGATACTACAAAAGCTTTTCACAAGGAGACTTATTTGGCTAGAGAAGGGGGTTCCTCTAAAGTGAGGTCTGAAGGGCAGTGAAGAGCATCTTTGGGCAGGATATGTTGTAGCCACGTACTCCTGATGAAAATGTGTGAGATATGAATATTTATTCCTTCCAGGGGTGGTGATCTTTTTCTTTCAATCTGAATTTTCTTCCATTTTCATTTTGCAGCAGCAAAGAACTAAACGAGGAGGCTGGGCCAAAGGGAGAAAGAGGAAGAAACCCCTTAGGGACAGCAATGCCCCCAAATCCCCCCTCACAGGGTATGTGCGATTCATGAATGAGCGTAGGGAGCAGCTTCGAGCGAAGAGGCCTGAAGTTCCTTTCCCAGAGATCACCAGGATGCTGGGCAATGAATGGAGTAAACTGCCTCCCGAGGAGAAACGGGTACCATTAAACTCCCTTTTCCTTGTTGGAATATCATTTTTGTTAAATGACAATAWTGTGTAGTGAGGAAGTTAACATAGACTTTTGAAGTTATATTTAGGAAAATGTTTAAAAATATGGTGCACAGGTCCTTCAGAGTTCAAGTAATGAACCCTGGTAGGGCTGTAGCAGCTCATCCAGGTGTGACTTGGAAAAAATCTAAATAGTGCAAAGTTGTACTGGGGAACTTGGGGGAAGGTTGTAACAAGATATCCTGTGGCTTGTGATTTATGGAGATGGAACTCTGTTCTACCTAACCCAGACACAGCTGAGAATTGCCAAGGCCAGAGCCATCAGAGCCAGTGGGACAGGGGCTCATTCGCTCTAGTTGAGGAGATTTCAGCGAGGTTTCAGAGCTGCTCAAATGATTTTAAATTTTGGTTTATTTTACAAACTCATCAAGGAATATAAATATTTGGTATCTTAGAATAACTCAAGTGCACCTGAAAGGGCATGTTGCTGGAAGAAATTAAGTAGTTAGTCTTTGTTGTCTTTATTAGAAATCTAAAAATGCAGAGACTTGGCCTTTGCTAGTATGTTGCTGTTGATGAGCTGGTTCGTGGAATACCAGTTAGAGATCTTAGAAAACAGTGTATGAACAATCGTTTTGTCCATAATGGAAAATGTGTCAACCGAGCCAATTGATTTAGCAGCAGATTTGCTGCGGTGCAATTGCTGTCACTGATTGCTGGGAGAAGGGGGAAGTGAGAGAATAAGAGATTCCTCTCCAGCTTAAGATACTGTTAAAGCCTCTGTGACAGTTTCTTAACTTAGAGCATTTAATCAATCTCCTTTTTTCCTGTGTGCAGCCTTTTAAATGGTCTTTTTTTAAAAAAAAAATCGCCATGGAGCCTGTACTAACCTGTAACTTTCACTAACCAGTACTGAGGCGGGGAAGAACTGCCAAGTACTTGGTTTCTATCTAATCTTCCTGCATGTCTTTATTAAGGTTATTAGGGAGTGTTGCTGACTTGAAACCATTAACTCTAACAGGACAGACCCCAAATTCTGGTTAAAGCTGACTAAGCTGGCTTTGGACTATAAAGAAATTATTTTCCTAAAGCAAGCAGTGAAGCTGAGGGAAGTACTTGTCTCCTGTTTGGGTTAATGTTGAATAATCCATGGGACAGGCATGTGTRAAGTTCTCTCCTGGCTGGTCCCCAACAATTAGCGAACTAGTTTTTGATGTGACAGCAGAGAAGAAACAGTCCCCCATTTCCCTTGTTCCAGCCCAGTAGTCTTGCATGGGTTCCCTTTGCTTTTGTCCAGCTTAAGGATGAGTTGATTGAGCTAAATGAGCCAGCCAAATACTGCCTTTGCCAAAAAAAAAGCCAAAGCCCAGCTTTCTACCCAGCCATTACCTTGCTGTAGCCATAAAGCAAATCACACATGATTAATCATTCTTCTTTTATCCTCCTGTGTAGAGGAATATGAGAGGTAACAAATCTGTGCTAGAAAACCTAGGACATCTAGTTACAGTTAGCACAGCATAATTCATTCTTACTGATTCAGAACAATCCGTTCAAAGCACAAGTTGAAGAAAAAAGGTGCAGGCCGCATCATTCATTGTCTGTGCTCTTTCAGCAGCACGTTCTGTTTTTCCATAATGCCTTAATTCYTCCCTGCCATCTCCAGCAACGCCCAAAAGCAGCACAAACTCAACATCCTCCAGTTTGCCCTGGTCTGGAATAGAAGCAGTGACTGCAGTAGGGTCAAGACAATGTCCCAAATGCACTGAATATATAACTGCAAAGTGGCTTGTGATGATTTCATGAAGATTAACGACCATACCAAGTGTCTAAGACTTGCTCTGGTTTGAGGTTTCCCCTGAATTTTAAACTTGAATGGGAAAGAGGTGGTGGGTAAGGCAGCTTTTTCGTGGAAAAATTCCATTAGTCCCTGAGTTGGCCACTTCTTAGGTGATGCTCAGTTCATCAGTATCCTTAAAATATTCTCCAATTAAGCTTGTTCTATTATGCAGTTGCCTGAAATTCCTCCAGGCTAGAATACAATGGTTTCTTGTAACTTAAATGTAGATATTAAAGCAATTGATAGAACCTTTTAGGCTCTGTTCTCTTTAAGCTCCTCTTTTAGAGTAGCCACAGTGTTTTGGTTACCCCTCAGATGAGGGGAAAGAGTGAGGTGGTGAAATTTTGCCTGTGGGATTTGAAAGCAAGTGCATACAGAAATCCCTTGCTGCAGATCTGAGTAAATGATAACCTATTAACAAGGGATTCTTGTAGGGCAGCATTTAATCACAGCCACAGAAACCTAATTCTTGAGTATGTTCTCTATAGTGTATATACACAGCATCAAGCTGGGCAGCCTGTCAGTTGACTGCTTCTAGGTCTAACAAGCAACCAAAACGTTAGCAGGATGATGATTTGGTAAAAGAGACAAAAAGGCATTAGAACAGCAATGTTTTATCCCAGACTCTTAGTTCTCTGCATCTCACGTACATTCTCATTGTTTCTCCACTACTTTACTGTTTGCATAGGTTAGATGGATCAGCAGTTCCTCTGACAAGCTGTTTTTCTTCCTTCCTTCCTGAAAGGGAGGAAATTCCCTGAAACTCTTGGGCTTTTTCGTTTCAGCGATACCTTGATGAAGCAGATAGAGACAAGGAGCGTTACATGCGGGAGCTGGAGCAATATCAGAAGACTGAAGCCTACAAAGTCTTTAGCAGGAAAGCACAGGACAGACAAAAAGGGAAATCACACAGACAAGGTATTAAATGGAGCAAAAAGYTGTGCTTAGCTAGAACAAGATGACCAACGAGAAGTATAGCCTCACCTTCATGAAAAGCCTTTGGTTGTTACAAAGCAGATGTGTTTTCTTTAGTGTTTGCGTCTACTATTGTAAAGTAACTGTGTTTACACAGATGTAACTGCCACTATGTTGTACTAGAGCAAGTACCTTCAAAGCACTCAAAGTAGATTCTACTTTTGCATGACTTTAGGAAAGCTACACAAGCTTTCTATCTATAACTGTTTGTTGTGTGACTGTGGTTATTTGGTAGTTTTACTAGYTTGTTTGTTTGTCTTTTGTTTGGGGGATTTCTTGCTTATTTTTTCTTTTCCAGATGGAGCAAGACAGCCAGCCCATGATCATGAGGTAAGCCTCTTTGTTCTGCACATCGGTGGGTAGATCTTCAGATGACACTCTGAACTGAAGTCAATATAAGTTTATGCCAGCTGGTGAAATAATCAAGGGCTTAAAATACTGTGTGTTCTTCCCCTTTTCGTAAGGTTTTTAAGTTAGAAGCAACTGAATACTCTTATGCTTATCATTAGGATGATGAAAATCAGAAATTTCTGGCAAGTATAAATGGTCTGAGATAAAGTGAAAGTGTAGAGCATACTTAAACAGACTGAAGGGAGTATCTTATTTTTTTTATGTGGTTTGAAAGAGATGTATGACTTGATTTTTTTTTTTTTTTAAATAGTGAGTGTAAGCTAATGTAATTGGGACTTTAATAATCTCCTCTATTGCAGATTCAACTTAAAAAAATTTTCCTTTTCAGCTTTTCAAAACAGAAAGGCTTGAATTCCCCCACCTACTGGCATTTTTTACCCAATAAACATTATTGGGTAAAGAGATATCTAGGTAGAACTAACATGGCTTGAGACCTAGATAAACCTTTCAAGCTTAGTTAAAGTGTTTAGTCTGTGGTTTTGAGGTACTGGTATTTTCCATCACAGTAAATGCTGTGGTTTCTTTGAGAAGGAGACATGGAATGTTACCAAAATTATTGTGAGATCTTTGGTTTAACCTCTCACCTCCCCTGCACACCTTTGCATACATAAATATTAGAGAAGAATAATGGTGTCTGGGGATATCATGATTATGCTTCAGCTGATATGAGACCTGTCATACACTTAGTGTGCCCTTGACAGTCCGTGCCGTCTGCCTTCCTCAGGCACTAAGCTTTTTGCCTCTCCTTGCCTTTCTTAAGGCCACAAAACATCTTGCATGGTTACCAATAAATTACATAAAAAACAAGGAAATGAAAAATCTTGTTTATTTATACACAGCGTCTTCAGTAGGTAGGTCCAAGGCCTTTCTGAAAGATCTTTTCCTTTTCTTTGAGGATTTCTTTTTTCCCCTTGGGAAAGCAATCAAGTTGCTTGCTAATGGGTTTGTTACAATAGTGGCAAGAATGTGCACTTCTGAGAGGCAACCACTCTTCTTGTCTTCCTTAAGGCAAGTATRTTTTGTTTCCAGGAAAATGCTTCAAGAGCGTGGTTTTCATGTATTTGATTAACTCTTAAAGGCAATACTCCTAGCTCTGAAGTATATAGCCCCTGAGACTTCTGATTCTGCAGTCTCTGAATCTAAATTAATCTTGAATTGAAAACTTTCCTAATAATCTGGTTTTGTACAAGTACCAGGTAATTGATGGTGACATTTACATATTTGACATATTATGACAAATAAAAAAAATTCTCAAGATGAGTCAAGATGAGTCTTGACTCTCATCCTTGTAAACACAAGTTATTGCTGAAATTTCACACTTCATTTGTCTGCTTACAGAGGAGTTCTTCCTATTCCTATAGGGCTTCCAAGCTTCATGAGACAGATACTGTCCAGAATGCAAAGGCAGACATCCTCCTTTGAAGTCTTGTTTTGTTCMCTTAGCATTTTTCAACTTTCTGTTATGAAAGATGCTTATGAACATGCCAGACAGTTTAGGTGTTACATCTGGTCATGTCTAAGACCCTCAAGGATAGGCAAATGCCTGCTGTAGTGTGAGCATGCAAACAGAAAATGTACCTGAGAACATYGGGCTGAGTTTGACCTGGAACCTCCAAAAATCAACCTCAATTTAATAACCCAGTGAGAAGGACATTACTGGTAGAAATGCTTCCCAGACTGTCAGTCATGTTTAAGGCAGAAGATRGAAATAATAATTTTGATTTTCTTTTAATTTGAGGAATTACAATATGATGTACAGCCTAAAACAGACTGGGCTTTCTCAGTGAGGAGGTAATCAAATCCTTATGACTTCAATCCCAGGTGAATCCCAGAATGGTCTGAGYATCTCAGAGCCCTCAAGAGCATCTTTTATAGGTTGGGTAATGTATTCTGTAATGGAAGAGTGCTGATGGCTTTCATTATCGTTCTTCTGTTACGTAGAATTTCTTGGTTGCCTTTCAGAAACTGAATGGTTTCATCTAATTGCTTTAATGTTCTTTAGTTCCTACYTAAAGAACCTGTACTCTGGGGCAGCAAATAGAGTATCAGCAGTGCCTTCACCACCACGTGCTCTCTAGGAGCCATTGCTGGGCCAGCCAGTGCCTCTTGGCAGACAGGTAGCAGTAATCATCATCATGGTTTTTCTAGACTTGTCCTCTAAGTGGTGTGGGATATTTTATTTACTTATTTGAACCCAACTTCCTAACTGACACCACTGCTTAGTGTACATGAATGCTAGTGTCCTAGATTTCAAGGTGACATTAACTTCTGTCTGTCTTGGGGTGGGATGTTAGAATGAAATTAATGTATTGTTTGGGTAAGGACTTCATGAGCGTTTGCAGTTGCCTTTACCCTCATCTCTTAGTTGCTGGYGTTCAGTTCGCCCTGGTCCAGCCCCTTCATGAGACAGGCACCAATATGGAACTCTTCAACTTAGTTGCAGAATTCCCTTTTAGGTTGTTAAACAGTTGGATTTTTTTGCCAGACACCRAATCATGTTTGACACTTCATTTAAAACCCAAGGTGTTCAAATACAAAGGCCTCTATTGTAGTGGCAGAAATAAGAGTGGTATTTTCTCTCAGGCTCTGAACATAATATTGGAGGAATGAGTTCTTGGTGTGCTTTGCCAGCTGAGSTATTTGAGGGGTTTGAAAACTTGCTATTTATAGAGATTCTCTGATGATTAACTTCTCTTCCTATATTAAGTAACAGTTTGATTATTGAAGTTCATCATAGGAAAAAAAATAAATCTAACTTGAATTGGCATTGTCAGTAATGATGCAGGCTGTAAGCATTGATTTCTGTTGATTTGACTTGCAGAAATGGTGACTGAAGTATCACTAATAATAATAAATTTAAATTTAATCTAAAAAATCCTTGAAGGAAAACATTTGGCGTAGTGCCTCTTTTCTTTGAGTCTCCCTGCTTTAGAAGACTTTTAAAAATGCCTGTTAGAGTCATGAGCTGTAAACTGGTATCCTATCTCCTGCACATCAAGTGCAGCAACCTCTTAGATTGTAGTACTCAAGTCCACAGAGCTGAACTCCTCAGGCTTACTGGAAATTAGCTAAACAAGTTTGAAAACTTCTACAATGCCTTTGACCACAGTTTTTATGACAATGCGCCTTAAAGAGCACAGATTTTGCATTGTTAGGTTTTGCAGAATGCAGAAAAAGCAGCCAGTTCCTTGAAGTAATCCCCACATGGATGCACGCGTGCCATAAGGACAAATGACTGCTTTCTGAAAGCAACGAACACCCGTACTTATTTCTTCTCCTTTCTCCCTCTAGCCCTTCAAAATATGACATACATTCTGTAAACAAGTTTCCCCAGAGAATCTTACACTTCGTGCCATGTTCATATATATATATATATACATATATATATTTTTCTCTGGAGGCAGCATCCTTCAAAATCTTTGGAAAAAAGATATGGCTCTCTTGAAGCATCCCATCTCTTTGAGACCAAGTGCATAGTACAATTTGGAACAGAGAGATGTGGAATTGGCACCCTGTGGAAAAGCTGTGTTTTTTTTCTCTTAGCAGTTCTTCTTGTCTCTTTTCTCGTTAACCTTGTTAGGTGAAAGGCAAAGAGCYTTCATATTTGGCATGAATGGTGCTTGGTTTATTTCGTGTTTGTTGACAGTAGCCTAAAACTGTCTGTAGAGAATGTCGTTTGTTTTGTTGTGGGATGGTTTCCGTTATGATRCAGAAAACAGATGAATTTGGATTTTCAAATTTTAAAATTACTGAATGATTGTCTAATGTGTATTGTCTTCAGGGCAAAATGTGTGTTTCAGTAGTCTAAGATACTTCTTGATCGTAGCGTTCGGCCTCTGTTAAAATCGTCAATAGGAATTAAAACCATCTTCCATCCATCCAGTTCTTGGTTTATCTGCCTCAGTTTTAGGTCTCTCTGCTGTTTCATTAACAGAACATGTTAGCTTACATTTTCTTTCTGCTCCTTTTTAGAAGGAAACGGACACAAAGGAGAGGTCTGTTTTTGATATCCCGATCTTCACAGAAGAGTTCCTGAATCATAGCAAAGGTAAACTAAACTCCTGCTGGGCCTGCTTTTTTTCTTCCCAGATTTTGCCCCAGTAGTGTCAGCTGAGCGAAGGCAGTGTGAGAGTACCTCAAGTAATGACTTGGATGTAGTTGGACAATGTTTGCATTCACCTCTATATGTATATAATGACTCTGATAGCAGGTATTCCTGCCTCACTGATATCCAAAACTGCCCTTAATAGAGAATGTTGGTAGCATTTACGGTCCACTGGCTGCCTTTTCCAGCCATTCCAAGCTCCAAGTGTTGTAGTATAGCCTTAAGAAACCTTTGAGGTAGAGAAAGATGTTGGTTCAGGCTCAATTCTCTTCTGTTGCCATGCTTTGATTGTCTAATTTGCYTGTCTCTTCGCTAATGCTTAAATAGCGGTTAATTTCTAGAGCTCCACAATGTGATACTTTTTATGCCTAGTCCAAAACCACACTATTCTCAAAGATCAATTTAGGAGACCCCCTAGACTTAGCTTTAACTGCCAACCATAGGGATGTTTTCTTTGACTCCTGGGGTGGGCATGGGCTGATATTCACAGCACGAGAAGCCGAGCTGCGGCAGCTCCGTAAATCCAACATGGAGTTTGAGGAGAGGAACGCGGCTCTGCAGAAGCACGTGGAGAGTATGCGCACGGCCGTGGAGAAGCTGGAGGTGGATGTGATACAGGAGCGTAGTCGCAACACGGTGCTGCAGCAGCACCTAGAGACCCTGCGCCAGGCACTCACCACCAGCTTTGCTGGAGTCCCACTACCAGGTAAGACTTTTTTAAGCTTAGGACTCTGTCCAAATTAAATTTTATCTTCTAATGTTGCTTTGAAGTTGCATTGCCTGCCTTGTAATTTTRTAGTCTAAGGCTATTTCTGAGGGTGTTTGTTTTTTTGGTGTTTTTTTTTGTATCGGATACCATAGCCTTGGAATAAATCCAGGTGAATGTTTAGYATTAACAGAGCTTTATTTCAGCCTTGTTTCCTTTTATCCATCTTTCTTCTTGTTTTAAGTACACTTGCTCGTTGYTTTGTTCCCAAGGAAGTGCTTATTCAGTCCTTGTTCCCCTTCACTTGTTATGTGAAAATGTGCTACTAAGTTGAAAAGACAGGACCTATAAGTTCCTTGATTAATGGAAAGGCTTCGGTGTTAGCATCTGCATTGTTAGACKCCAGAGAATCCACTTAGATAATCTGAGTGCCCAGTGTAAAAAATAAAAAGGGTGTGGGGGGAGGAGGGAAGGTTCAATTATAATCAGCAATGAGATACAAATCGTTGAAGTCCAGGCTTCGCTAGTCCTGCTGTTCTGCCTCCACAAAATGTGTGGTTCCGAGGTGGAAACTTTCTTCTACAGAGCCTAATAGATGAAGGGATACAGGGCAAGAGCACCTTTATAGCAGCTTGCGTGTTGGCACAAGCTGGCCTAAGTATAGTCTTGACTTTCTGCAATTGCTGCAGCCGTCTAAATATTCTGTGGTTCATTTTACTCCATTAACTGTAGGTAGCGGGGAGACACCCACTATGGAAACGATTGACTCGTACATGAATAGGCTGCACAGTATTATTATGGCTAACCCGCAGGAGAACGAGAACCTCATAGCCACGGTCCGAGAGGTGGTAAACCGGCTTGAACGCTAGTGCTTGGGTAAGTGCTCTTGTCTTTTAGCCTGTTTTTCCGTGTTACCTACTCGGTACTGCTGGTACTTAGTCTGACACCGATTCATGTGTAGGTCACTGTATTGCCTAAGCAAAAAAAAAGGCACTTTTTTCCTCTCAAAGCTACAAGAGCAGGTTGACTTGCCTGAAAGTCAAACGAGGTTGAAAAGAAATCTAACTGCACTTAAAGGTTCTGAAATTCTCCTCCCTAGCTCTGAGATATTTATACATACAAGGACATAATACAGCTACTTGCCCTGTTATTCAGTGTATTTGATGTGTGATGTGAATATTGAGAACACTGACAGTGTAGAAAAAGAAGAGCAATAATTTACATTTGAATGCTAGGGTGACTAATGTAGAAGATTTACTTCACTTGAGAAAGAAACAATTTGAAGAGTTCTGCATAAATGTAGGACCTGGTCATGAAGAAATCTCATTTGCCTCAAGAGGTTACAGGTGAGCTCATTTCCATTATGAACTGAAAATACCTTTAAACTACCAAGTCTGCAGCACCTGTAGTCAAGTTGTTCTGGATATGACAGTTTACATGCAAGTGAAGCTCTGATGTGTGATTCAAGCTGGATGTGGCATTTGCTGAGRCTAATGCTCACCAGTTTATGCATACAGTATTGCAGAGCTCATGGTGCTGCACTTTTGTTTCTGCTCAGCAGCCTAGAAAGCCCYAATCAAGGACTGAATGGAGAAAGCAATAAAGAAAAAAGTCTTTGTGCATTACTGCATTTCCCAGCCTATTTACTCACCCTCCCGCCCTGCAACAGTATCCAGACATTGGGAGATTACCTTTTCCTACTGCAATTATGCATGTACCTGGATTCTCTAGAAGTATATTGTGAAGAGATTTACTGTGTATGTTCCTCTGTGTTTGTGTTTAGAAATGCAAATAAAATCCGAGTTGTGCCGCCTGTGAATTTGAGGACGTGGCTTTTTATCTCTTCTGATTCTGACCTTTTGTGATAGTGCACAGAACAGTTAATTACGCTTTCCCCATTATAGCGTGGCTAAAGCTGGAAGATCATTGTCCTTCCAGAGGGCAGCCAGATGGAACGGGCTCTCGTTCTAAGAGGCAACTGAGCTCCCAGCAGAATAAAGAAGTGGCTTTTACTGTTGCTATTTGTGAAGGGGAACAGCTTGTCGATCCAGGTCTGGGATTTTTCAGCCGCCTCATTTTTGAAAACTGTTTTCAATTAGCACTCTTGTGAGGTCAGAAAGAGAGAACTGTGGCTGGGGAGGTTTGAGAGGATGTGGTAAGAGGGAAAGCAGTTTCTCAGCCATCGGGTATCGAAGGGCGTGCCAAGCACTGAGATAGATGTCTGCCCTTTAAACACCTTGTCAGAAGAATCATGGCTCAGAGCTCCTCAAATCAAGGCTTCGATTCTTATGTCATGAGGATTCTTATTTCCTAAATCATTGTTATTTTATGTGTTCTTAAAATGCACCTTTTTCTTATAGAGGAATCCAATTTTTTTTTCTAGAAGTGGCTTGGAAAAACTATTTCTTCCTCTGGAATCCTTCCTCTTGGTTTGCAGTTTATGTACACTCTTAACACTTTTCCTGCGTTCAGGAGCATAATGGCATGAGGCAATTAAAAATGTGGTTATTATTTACCTGTTTTCATGGTATAAATATGTACTTGTAGCTGGATCGGATTTCCAATGGCTCATAGGCCTATTCATTGCTACGTGAATGTTAGGCTAGCTACTGTATTTTGTGGCACASTCTTAGATTGAAAAAGGGCTTTATGGTTGCAAATCTACCAAGAAAAAGGCTTCCATAAGAGAGGGAAGTTTAGGACAAAGTTTGAGTTGCTGTCTGAGTAAACCCTATAGTCAGACTGCCATGACCATTGTCTCTCTGTTAACTTGTATGTAAGATATAGACTAATTCTCTGAAATGCAATCTCTATCGACCTAGCAGTATCTTTGAGACACGTTACAAAATCAAAGTTTGTAGAAAATGCATTCATTATTCTACAAAAATTCTGTACTACAGAATTTAGTTTTTTTAGTGGCTTCAGTACCTTTTGTTTAAAGGCTCCTTGACTGTAGCARTGAATGTTTCTCCGTACTGCATGCTAAAACTTCTTTGTGCGAACAGACAGCATATAAGGGCAAGAGGAAGTTGTTTCTTATTTAGCAATCTGTTCTTTGGATGGAAACAGGAATTCACAGGTATAAAATTAGTGGCTGTCCTGACATACTTCTGTCTCTGTATGCTTCTTTGCACAATTAATGTCATATTTCCAAACAAGCTCTTCAAAAATAATGTCACGGTGTCCTATTTCATCCTCACAGATTGTGGTCTTCTAACACTTTTTTTTTTTTCTGTTGTTTCGTCTGCAGGTCTCATGACCCAGGGATGCTTTACAAAAGTTTTTCGGCCAGTGTGGAATAAGAAGCCATGAGGGAAAGACTAGGGGCGGGAGGCAGAATTTGCAGGTTTGTCCTGCTTTCTGCCTTTGCAGTTTCACTGGGGCAAGCAGATCAATGCATTAAAAGGTCTCAAGAAGCCACGGACACCACCCACTAAGCATTTTTGAACTGTCCTCTATGTAAAAAAGAGCATGTGACTTTTTGTGCAATTTTCAATTTTTTATTAGCTTTTCTGGATGTGAGAGTGCATACTTTCTGTAACCTGGCTGACTGTGGAGGTGAAATCTCTCGGTTTGTGAAATTAAGTCAGCCTACTTATCGTGGTAATAACTTTGAAGTGTGTTATTGCTTCATGTCTTTTGACGTCCTTTATTTTGTTTTCACATTTACCTCGTGGGAATTCATTCCCCTACTTCAGTTTTCTTCTTTTGATCTTGTTACTTGATACTTGCAGTACTGGATAGGAGCACCTGTGTCCTGTCATGGCAGGCAGCCTTCCTCAGCGAGCTKTCCTGTCCTCCCTGCCTGCCACTTTTATGTAAGCTTTTTTTCAGCAGAACTCTGCTTTTCATGTTGTCCTGCGACTTCTAAAATGTGAGTTCATTCCCTACCGAAACTGCCTGTAATTGGTGCTTTGGGACTTGATTCCAGTACAGGACAGACTGTCCCACCACCCCTCTGAGCACCCTTTTTGCACGTGCATCCTGCTCTTCTGTGAAGGTCTGTGGTTACCTCTTGAAAGTATGTGCTGGAACATTTTTCTGTTGCAAAGGTTAATGATAATCAAGAAAGGAAGTGAAAAGCTAGCTCTTCTCAGCTGGCAGGGAAAGCAGAAATCTCCATTTTAGACTGAAAACACAAAGCTGCTCTTCCCTCCGATGGGTTTTTCAGTCTGATGTTACTGCTTGCTTTTACAGAGATTGATCTCATTCTATACACAGAGAAAYGTGCAGGGGGGCTTTATTTTCTGCCTTTCTGAAACTGTAGCGCTGAGAAACAGTATGCCTAGAAACAGCACGTATATTTTTGTGTGAGTTGTTATAGCAGAGAAGGTTATTAGCAGCTAGGTCCACATAGCAGCCTGCAGAATTCTCAGCTGCAGCCTGTAAGTGCTTTCACCTTCTTGCTGTTCAAGTATAGCCTACAGAGCCTATAGCATTCAGCATATTGTGTTCCACTGTGACCTAAATGGCCTTTCACTTGCATTGRCTAGAAGTTTGCATGCTAGAGTCTGGAATCTTGCTAAGCTGCGCTGCACCTCCTGTCAAAGATGAAGGCACCTACTGTCTGCTCCAGCTTATGCAAATCATTGCCCTTGGGTTCCTGTCAAATTGGTAATTCAGACTTTGAGCACTTGTTGAACACCTTTGGGTTTCATAGGAACGATTGGAATGCACTCTCTTCCACATGAGTCTCCTTGCTTCTCCTTCAGAAATCTTTAAGGATTTCCCTGTTATGAATTGGAGATTGCTTTCATTACTTGAGTGCATTGCAATCAAGATTGCTTTCAAGTATCTGTAATGCAAGTACTTGAAGATGAAAAAGTAGTTTCTTCTTTCCCATGCTATACACATGGACTTTGTGCTTGCTGAAGCCACCTCCGGGTCAACATGTTGCACGTCAGGTCTGTGCTTGCTTGTTGTCTTATTGCTGTAACCAAGCAGCAAGGATTTCCATGTAAATTCAAGTCTTCCTTCTAGGAGGAAACTCCTCTCACTTGTCTTCAGTCTCATTTGCAAGACTTCACCAAAAAGAACCACGTTTTGCTGCATTGACCTACCCCTTCTGCAATGTGGAGAAGACCAACTGATGTTGGCATGGACTATTTAGTGGATTCTTTAACAAATATTGTATGGGGGAAAAATCTAYAGGCTAATAATGTCTCTAGGAAAAATCACCTGTACCTTCATGCTCTGTGCATGCCTCCTGTTCTAGGATTAGTGATATTGGACTTTCATTGAAGTGGCCAAAATGCACTGCCAGCCAAAAGTTGATTTACAAAATCCTAAAATTCAGTTTGTGGCATCTTATAACCCATGAAGACTCCAGAAATTGGTACCTAATATAATGGGATGCAATTCCAGGCTGTGCAGTACGCACACTCGCTCTAAAGGAGGTGTGTGGCTGCAGGCTAACCCCATTTGTATGAATTCAGTGCAAGTATCTGCTCGTGGAGCACAGCTGATATGTCATCCCGTTGTGTAACRGGTGGGTGTTCTCAGATGGGAAACRCAAGGTGATGCTATTAGCTGGAGACTGACAAATCTTTTCTTTTTCCCATGAAGAAGGAAGGGAGATGCCATACCCAGCTTAAAGCATCTGGGGAAAGATTAAGTTTGTGCTTGTCAACAAGATGACAGATGATGTTTTGTCTTAAGACGCTTCCTATCTCCTCTGATTAACCCTATGAAATGGATTTTGCCTTTCCAGTGTTTTCCTGAATGTCACTTCAGTTTACATTTTTCAATGTTGGCTGACAAAAATATGAAGTGGGTGTTGATGAGAGGAACAGGATAAAGTGCTTTCTCTTCACTTAGAGAAATGTTAAGAAAACTGTATGAAAATGGAGTCCATTTGTTGGATCAATGTGTTGAGATGCCAAGTTTTATGTATAATGTTTTTGTAATTAAACTTTTGGAGTTTCTTTTGTTTCTGAGAAGTTGATGTGCTTGTGTGATACTTGCTTCATTAAAATTATTCAACGTTGAATCCATTCTGATTCAATTTTAACTGCATTTTAATGAAAGAGTCATTAACAAGCGTTGCTCTCTTGTCTGAGAGATTTTTGTCAACTCCCCATTAATCACCAGTGTTCTCCAGCAGTCCTGATTGGTAATGCATGTTTTCTATAATTGCTTGTTCAGATGACTGTGTATGTGTTTTAATGTATCTTGGAATGACACGATAGGCTGTAATTTCTTCTCACAGGAGGCCGGGTGAGTGCTCAGTGCTTATCCTGCCTGTCAGATGATCCGAGAACTAATGGCTACTCCATCTTCCGGCACTTCAGTGTATTAGCTCTTGATATAAAGATGGTCTTTGAGTGCAAATAGCATTGGAGAGCTGCCCCTTCCCCTCCACATCACAAGTATGTCTCCTTCTGAAACCACTAAAGGAAGTAGCCGCTATTTGAAGTGAATGAAAGTTGGAGACTTTTCAGAAAAAAAATTATTGTGATCCTTCCTGTCCATGTCCTAGTTTCCCAGCTTGAGTCACCTTAAGGCCTTGAATTTCCCTCCCCACCCCACCGCATGCTTTAACAGCCCTGTCCTCCTCTGTTTTCCTTAATTTCCTAGTACCATCTGCTTGCTTTACCTGCAAGAGCCTTCTGTATCATATTGCCCCTCCCCTCCCAACTTATTTTCTTTTCCTCTAGTAGAYTTTCTCATGTTTCCCTTCTGCTTGCTAGGTGTGAAGTCAACCTGTAGCCTTATGGAATTTGTTCTTTGGTTATAGATCCTCTGGGGAGGACTCTGGATGATCAGCTATGAGGTACTAAAGATTTCAAAAATAGAAGGAAAAGAGAGGGATTTCCTATGTGACTGTAGCCACTATGTGATAGTGGCTAGGTAAGAATTGGGAATGATAATGTCAGCACTAGTGTAGACCTGCAAAAAGCAGGCCCTTCATAATGAGGGAAAAGCCCAGTTGCGTTCCACTTTGTGCTGTATGTGGCATCAGGAGCAGATGCTGACCAATCATCTGAATTTAYAAGTGTAGTATAATATTTTTGCTGTTTTTCTTTTATTTCTTAAACCCTACTTAGTGCTGCTGGATGGGATCTATGACTAATAATCACTTGAGGGAAGTGAAGGAGATTTGAGTTTTTTGGCTATTTTAGGAGGAAAATACAATTTCCTTCCTGTTTTCTCAGGCACGTTCCTGTTTAATAATGTGTTTGCAGTCATAAATGCYGTCTGTAGTGTGTATTTTTCTTTAACCTCTTGTTTCAGATCAGATGTGTGCTTTGGAGTCAGAMATTTGGAGTCAGGCCTGCCAAAAGTTAACGGTTATCCTTCACTTGTCCCGTAGAATTTTTGTGCCCACCAACAGTGAGTAGTTCTGCTTCATCTTCCTTCCTCATTGCTCACGGTATTGAGACTTTCTTTCTGTCTTAGAATATCTTAGTCATATTCAAGACCAAGATATTCTAAAGACCAATTTTGCCTTAATGGCAAAATAGGTGTTCTTGGCTGCATCTGTTGTACTACATCCGTTTATGTAATGCAAAAAGAAACAGCTTTCACAACTATGACTTGCAGGTGCTATTAATAAACTTGTAATTCTGATGCTGCGAGGTTTGGGGGGGTCCATCATTTGTTTTGTTGGCGCTGGGGTGTTGTGTATCTGAATGAACATTGGAGCCTGGAAGTTATAGACAAAAGAAGACTTGAAGTTTGAATAACTATCCTGTCTTATTGCTATAACCTGACGACACGTGGGGACCTGTATAGTGTGGGTGTTGAAATGCTTTTTGAACGTTTTTGTGAAAACAATGACAAGCAAATGTGGCTGGGATTTTTCTAAGTATTATTTTAAAGGGAAGCAAGAGGAAAGAGTGACTGTGCAAATCAGACTAGGACACGGGGCTTTCCACTCTAAAGTTTTCTGAGCTGTGCTTTAGTGCAAAGAGACACAACATTGATGGCAGATACCTCTGGACTTTGGCTAGCATGTGGCAGACTCCGTTTCAGAGTCACTGAGAGGGAGATGGAGCTGAATTATATAGTGGCTGTTACTTTACTTGTGGCTCACTTCTGTGTGAGGACGAATGCAACACAGGTTTATCATTTTTGCATGTTATTTGTAGCCATAATGCAATGTTCCATCAGCTCAGGAAGTTTTAAAATGTTTTATTTTAGACTCTGCAGGTTTTATTTACATGCGTATCTCAGTAAGTCAAACTTAACAGAACTGATAACGTTCCAGTACTAATTAGTTCATGACATCCTGAAGTAACACTTTAAAGGATCTGCGTGGAGATGGAGAAGTAGAGAAACAATGGAGGAGGAGGAGGGACTGTTCAGCTGAGTGCAGAACTGGGTCATGGGAAAATGGTGAGTTTAACTAGAGATTAAGGTCTTGATCCAGAAATATTTAGGCAGAAGGTCAAGTTTGTACRTGCAGTTGGTGCTGCTGAGTTGACTGGACGCCCTCAAATACTTGTCACATCAGTGCAGTAGACTAGAAATAAAGAGAAAAATGTCAAAGTGCATTTTTAAACATTAAAAAAAGTACTTTGTTGGAAAGGTTTTTATATAGCAAAGCTTCTGCCCTGATTTGCATGCTTTTGGAGAAGAAGTAAGTATKTTTTGTATCTATATGATAAATAGGACAGTGGGATCCTGAATGGGCCTGCTAGGGGCTACAGCAGTTCACCTAATAGCATGGGACAAGTTATTTTTGCARTAGTAGAACACAAGTTGTTTCACGTTAGGAGAGATGGAAATACAAAATCTCCTAGAGAAGTGTGGTTATCTGTGCCTTGCACCAAGTGAGGCTCCTGCCTAACAAACTATTGTTGCTTTTTCTCTTTTTAAACCTATGTGAAAAGGAGAGTTTTGAAAAAGGAATTGAAGCTCTGGTTATAATGAACAGGAAACCTTCATTCTTCTACTGATACCTGAAGAAGACTCTGTTTAGTCACAAGTACTAATTTTTACAAAATACAGATTTTAAAAGGTGAATAACCCCCCCCTTTTTTTTAAGGAAAACCAGATTCTCTTGAGTATATGCAAGATACTTTTCC